CACACACACACACACACACACACACACTTCAGATGTGGGAAAAGGAATCGGGCAAGCCCAGGGTCAGGTGCCTACTTTGCCGCCAAGGGATATGGCAAGGAGCCTAAAAATAAGGCAGCTCTTCGGAGCAAGAGGGGGGCCACTGTGTTGCTTGGAGGCCATAGGAAGTCACGCGGCGATGCTGGGAAGGAAAAGAACTGGAGATTTTGGAGAATTAACGCACCCTCTTCTTATTCAGTGATCGGGTCCCATTTCAACAACTGGCCATTAAGTGAAATGAGAGAGAAAGAGAGTGGGTGGGAGAGAGGGAGAGGGAGAGAGAGGGAGAGAGAGAGGAAGAGCAGGAGAGAGAGGGGGAGAGGGAGAGGGAGAAGGAGGGATAGAAGGAGAAAGAAAGAGTGAGAGAGAGAGTGAAGGAGAGAGAAGGAGGGAGAGAGAGGGAGAGTAGGAGAGAGAGGGGGAGAGGGAGAAGGAGGGATAGAAGGAGAAAGAAAGAGAGTGAGAGAGAGAGTGAAGGAAAGAGAAGGAGGGAGAGAACGGGAGAGGGGAAGAGAGGGAAGGAGAGGGAGAGAGAGAGGGAGAGCAGGAGAGAGAGGGAGAGGGAAGAAGAGGGAGGGAGGGAGAGAGGGAGAGGGAGAAAGAATGAGTGAGAGAGTGAGAGAGAGAAAGTGCGCGAGAGAGAAGGAGGGAGAGAACGGTAGAGGGAAGGAGAGGGAGAGAGAGAGGGAGAGCAGGAGAGAGAGGGAGAGGGAAGAAGAGGGAGGGAGGGAGAGAGGGAGAGGGAGAAAGAATGAGTGAGAGTGAGAGAAGGAGAGAAAGTGAGGGAGAGAGAAAGAGGGAAAGAAAGGGCGGGGAAGGAGGAAGATAGAAAAGACACTGCCAAGATAAGGTGTTCTGTGCTTAACTTTTTTCTTTTTCCTTCTTTGGCCACCTTGCAGGGCAGAAAGATGGCTTAAACAAGCTATCTCTTCCTGAGATGCTTTTCTCTGCAGCTCAGAGGGCTTCTAAAAAGCACTAATTGCTCTGTGACCTTAATTAGTTGGTTAGGACTGTCCCGTCAGCTGGCGCCTCTGCCTGAAACTGACCAGAGCTTAATCACTTTCACAATGAAGACTATGTTGTCGGGCGTATTGGCCAAAAAATGATTATAATTTTTTTGGTTATCATTTATTACCGTCATATTTGAGAATACAGTCACTAACTGAGTTCGCTCTATGAGAAGGGGCTGTAGGTTTATCCTCAATGGCTTCCAGCTCCGATTTTTAACCCTTGTTTCCGTGTTTTGGCCCCAAGAATCATATTAGTAAATATTGGGTTTAAATCATTCTTCCTATCTTTCTACTTATAAGTTTTTGTCCAATGAAAACATCAGAAAGATGGATGAAGGGTGAGGAAAACACACAGTTCCCCTCATTCTATTCCTATCTTTGTATAACATGTCTACATTTTTGTCTCCAAAATGGTTGGTATTGTGGTTCGCCAGCAGCCCGTGCAGACGGCAGTGGAATCGGACAGTGGGGAAGAATGGGGACCAGTCCAAGAGTCTTGGGAGGACTTGGATGAGGGTCCTGCATCCAATGCAGAGATGAGGCCAGGACTATCTGGGAGTGGGGTGCTGCCTCCAGAGCCTTTGGAGTCTGGCAGCAGTGAGGCAGAGGACCCAGGGGAGCCTGTTCCCAGTGCGCGTGTGCGCAGAGCTGCTAGAAGGCAAGACTAGCTCAGACAAAAGGGAGTAAGGCTAGGAGGTGATTGCCCCTACCCTGGGGTATAAAGGAAGTGCAAAGGTAGAGAAACCTTTGCAGGAAGCAAGGTTGTTCATTCTGTTCAGATTAATCCTTGAAGCTCTGTGTGGACTTTGTACTTGAGTTGGTTTTCTATAGTTCATTTGGCACTCTAGTTGTTGGCAGCAATTCAAAGGAGAGAAAGAGGAGTGCTTATCTTGAGGGACTGTTTGGGACTCCCTACGGGCTGGGAATGAATGTAATTCCCAGCGTAGAAATAAAACAAGAATTGTTTGGACTAAGCGTCTCAGGAAGCCTTGGTCAAAACAGTTGGTCTTTTGCCTGTTTTCTTACTTTCTTCAATCTCTGGCAGGATGGCTTTACTCCCTTGGCAGTGGCTCTCCAGCAGGGCCACGAAAACGTGGTGGCCCACCTGATTAACTACGGGACGAAGGGGAAGGTGCGCCTCCCGGCGTTACACATAGCTGCCCGCAACGATGACACGCGAACAGCTGCCGTGCTTTTGCAAAACGACCCCAACGCCGATGTCCTTTCCAAGGTCAGCTGGCCGTACCTAGGGAGATCCATGGGTCAGGATGGGAAGGGGAGGACCCTGGGCACTTGTGGGGGGCAGGATTTAGTTGGGACCACTTGGGGGGAAAAGTATGTTCTGTCAGTTGGTCTTAACATGGAATGGAATGGAATAAATAGAGGATAAAATAGAACATAGAAAATGTGTAAAATAGAGTAGAGTAGAATAGAGTACAATAGAATAGAGAATGAAAGAATAGAACGGAATGGAATGGAATGGAATAGAATAGAATAGAATAGAGAATGAAAGAATAGAATAGAATAGAGAATGATAGAATAGAATAAGGAATAGAATGGAATAGAATAGAACAGAGAATGTAATAAACAGAATAGAATAGAATAGAATAGAATAGAATAGAATAGAATAGAATAG